GAGAAGGAACAACAACATCTTGGGTTCTATATGATGGTTTAGAATAAACCCGCACATGACTGCTGAAGGTAATCCCAGCTGGTTTAGTAATCACCATGGAAATCTATAAAAGAGATTGGTTTATAAGATTATAATATGACTGGAAACAACTATAAACAATATCCAAGTTGGCAGTACAGCCTTTTTATTGCAGTACATAGAGTCTACAGTACCTTTGCCTGTATATCCCGATTAGAAGCAGTGTGATTAACTGTAAACTCCACCTTCTTGCATGTGGGCATGGTAGGTCCTGCTTTGTAACACACTGTCACAGACGCTGTTGCAATACAGAAAGCACAACAAGGGTGGGGCTTAGAATTCATTGCAACAGTAATGGAAAATGTTGCTGTAAGAACAGCACTTAAAACTAACTTCCCACGCTTAAATGACCATGCCAGTGTTTTTAAAATGTTTTAACCCATTAACTATGAACTGAGTTTACTGTATGTAACGTATTGTATTGTATTACCAATATTTTGACCATAGCATACCATATGTTCTTACTGCCACTTGTTTTCATTTACTCCACTAGATTCAAATCAATAAAAGTTTTAGCAAGTTTATTATTTGTCCAAATTGAATTATCAGTAAAATTAGATATTTTATTTCCACTGTGGTCTTCAAGTTACATTGTTGTTGTGCTTTCAAGGAAACATGACATGGGATATTTGCAGCAACCATTTATACAAATACAACAAACTACTGTTAATTTCACATTATCCTTTTCACAACTGTTTGCTTCATTGATTCTTCCAGTAACGATTTCCCAACAACATCCCACAACATGCTCCTCAGAAGCTGACTGTCAAATCTTGGATGTTGTTGAAAATAGTTTTCTACTTAGTTTTTCCACCAATTGCGCCACGTGACAATGTAACTTGGACAGAACATTTAGTAAGTAATTAGTTGGTGGGTTGCCTAATACAAGCAAGATCAAGTTGATTTTCATTTCATCACTGAAATTAAATTAAACCAATAGCTGCCTGGATGGTAGAAAAATATTTTTAAAATGATGGTATACTTTTGGATCGTCTGTAGTAACGTAAAGACTAATAAACAGATTGGTTAATAGATTTAAACATACAAAACAACCAATATGGCCCTCTAAAAGGCAGTGATAACATAAGTGGGCTGCATGTTGCCTTAATTTATACCTTTTGGATTCCTCGTTTCCTCGCTATAATCCTCATCATCACCACCAGAGTGGTCTTCATTCTCCATTGTTTTACTCAGATTGATGTTGATCTCTGTGTCTATCACCAGACATAGTACACACTGCGCTCTGTCCTTGCAGCAGAACTTGAAATATGCCGTCAGCTTTTGGACATCCACATCAGCATCATTCTCTGCTTCACTAAGGGGACTCACATTCTTCCTGATGCAATCAAAGAGACCCTAAAAGAAGCCAAAAAACATATTTTAAAGACATATTTTTAATGTGTGGCATCTGTATCATAAATATTTGCTGATCAGGGGTCTACATTGTGATTAATGTAGACATACAACAGCCCTATATTGTGGCAAGCTGACAGACGGCTATAACCCTTTGTCTGCTTTTAATTAAATGTTTGAGAATGAAACAGTTAATCAGTGAAAAGGGAAATTAAAATGTCAGAGCAGGCTGCACCAGTACCAATCTGTCAACAAAAAACTGTGTGCACTGTACTGCAGCACACAAAATGTTTGCTTTAGTGTATCCAAGCAGTGTACCCTCCCGTACCTGTGAGCAATTGACTTCATGGTCGTCCTTTTCAGAAATCTCCGAAACACAGGCTGACACACGAAGAGTCAGTAAAACACAGCAAACAGACCATCCAGGAAGGAACATTTTGCCCGAGGACAGTCTGATTGAAGGATATGAGTGCTACAGCATTTTTTTCCTTGTCAGACAAGTTGTGTCTTCCTCCCCATCACAACCTTAGGTTGGAGATTAACTTGATATCCTGGCTCCAACTGTACGCTGGCATGGAGGGCTGTGAATTGAGACAAAACTGTTAGAGAATAGCTGTAGTTGAGAGGTTTCAGCTTTGGGCATGGCCTGGGGAAGAAGAGACATAAATTAATCCAGGTATCGGAATTTTCTGGCAGCTATTTCTTCAAAGGTTTCAAATGACTTAAACCACAGTATTCTTTTTCATATAAACTCAAATAGTTTTCTGGTGTTACTTGTGGCGTAATAACTGGATAGTCCTTCAAGCATAAAACAAGCAAACAGTATTACGACATAGATAAGAGTATACTGTAACTGTAACATTAGAAATTCAATCAAATTACACGAACAGTCCCATAGGAATATAATTTAGGTCACTTACCATGTTTAGTTATCCATTGTAAGTAATCCACTCTGAAGTGTGTTTTTTCTCTCCACAGACTTTTCAGCTCTATGTTTAGTCATTTACCAAGAAGTGTCTGAGTCATGTGAAAATTGAACCTTCGTCACTGTCCTGACTCAGGAGTCGTCCCTCCCACCCCCTCTCTCCCCGTCTTTCTCTCTCTC